GGAAGGCATTCAATAGTTTAATCTTATTTTTACAGTTGCTGATAATTTGAGAGCTAGATACACAGAGAAAAGTTATTTTCATTCCTGTATACAATAGCTCTAGAGAGTATTATATTCTATAAGTCTACATGCAAAAACTAGCATGAAGGTAGTATAATGGAATTGATCTCATCACCTCCATTCAACCACTATTTTCTTGATGTTTCCTTTCCTTTTGATCCATACAGGCTACATTTTAGATAAGTTTTATGAAATTAGATAATCTATACAAAAATATTTTGAAACTTTCCTGTTTCTCTGCTGAAAAAAAATCCATCAGTCTGCTGTAATGGGATTTTACTTCAGTTTTACTCTTTTCAAATACCACTAGTGTCTATCTGTCTAAGAATTTCAAAATGAATTTTTCAGGCTCCTTATACTAAAGAAATAGAAATATTAGTTGTTGTAGCAGTAGCATCTTAAAGACTAAAGGCATTTCAGCATCTGTTTTCATAGATCACTGCTCCGGTCAATAAAAAAGTTACCAATTATATTTGAACCTTTAAAAAAACAAACCCTTCATAAAAGAGTGAGGTAAACTGAAAAAAATTGGCCCTGCTCCAATTTGTGGCTAGATGTGCAACCTACAACCACTGGAGGCCAAAATAATACCATAATAATTACAATCAGCAGACTCTAACAAATTGTCAAACTGATATATGGACTTTCCAGCTCAGCATTTGAACTCTTCATAAGAGAATTGGGTTATATTTAGAATATGGTTTTCCATTTTAATTGTTCCAGGAAATCAATGATATAAATGATTATTTATAATTCTAAATTATATATACACACACAATGCAGACACACACACATCCACATTCTCTCTTTCCTGTTTCTCCCTCTCTCCCTGTATATGTAAATACTATACATTCTGCAATGCATAAGACTATTATTTTTCCAAAAGTATTTTTGTTCAAACTATTCTTGCTAGTTTAGCTTTTTGTTGTAAAGGTAGCCAGTACAAGATTTCTTTTTTCTTTTTTATAGCCTACTTGCTTTGCTTACGTTTACTATTTTCCCATGAGTACTTTAAAGCTATTATCTTAAAGACCTTAATTATACATATCTTAGGGTAACAGCCTTCAGATTACTGATTCCAGAGCAGTCTCTGCAGACAATAGCCGAACCTCCATGAAAAAAAGCTTGAAGGGATTTAAATATGGGAGTCTGCATATGTTGAGAAAAAGATGGACAGCCTTTTTCGTAGCTTTGAAAGAGCGCCCAGCATGAAGGAAACAATGCTGCTCTGTTGAACTTGTCTCAAACAACATTCTTCTGGTTCAGGATGAAATAGCAATTACACCTTTTAGAGTTTTATAAAATACCTGCTAGAACATGTTGTGGACTATAGTGTTAAAATATTTTATTGGAGCATATTTTTATTAAGACTTTGAAACATATTTTATTTCAAGAATTTGTCTGCCTTTTTATTTTCCACTGTTTATAGGCTAGTGAGATAAAGTGTACATAGCTTCTCTTTAGATAAATCCATTCTCAGAAAAGGTCTTTGTAAGGAAGAAAGGAATTTCCTTATATGGAATATTGTTGAGATGGGAAATGGGTAACAGGACAAGGGAATGGTATTCTATAGGAGGGGCTAATTGTAAAATATATAAGCTGTGCTGGGTGGAAGGGGTCTTTGCACCCACCTAACATCTTGTTTTATTGCTTTTGGGTGAAAAATAAAGAACTTAATTCATGCAACTGCCTGGTTTTTTTTATTCTAGCTCAGAAACAAACTTGGTAAGGAATAAAAATTCTAATATATCTATGCTTTTCCTTGTAATTCAAATCAACATGTTAGGGATTATTCTTTTAAAAAAAATCTTAGTAAAACTTAGAAAAACTAAGGAAAACAATTGTGCCTCCCATCTTGATGCTTACTTGTTGAAGGTAAAAGTAGGGTATTGTAGTGTGATGATTAATAAAAGACTACTAAATAATATTTGTAATAATTGTACAGCATATAAAGAAAAGTGATAACTTAATAATGAATTATTATAATACATGGATTAGTGGCAATTGATATGTATGTTTGTGTGTAGTAAAATGTTATAATTCGATATCTAATTTTTATGAATGACTAAATTACTAAACAGAGTCTAGGGATATAGTAATGAATTCTAAAAATTTCTGTTTAGAGAACAGCTCCTCTATTTAGCAATGATAGCATAACACCTTCAAATTATAAGTGTCCCTGATGCTTCTCTAATATTGCTTTGTTTTTAAGAACCCTAATCTTTAGTTTTGTTTTAGTTTTTTTTACAGCAGACAAATTCAGTTGTACATTCCTTTATATAACTCTTTCCAAGGACTTTCTGTACTTGGTCTCTGAGTGGGACAGTACTCCAAAAAGCTGGAGGTGGGATTGAGAAAGAAATTAAATCTGATCTGACTGCATTTACCCTTAATTTAAATTTAGTTAAAATTATAGTTAATTGCTATATGTCATGACTTTTTCAATTTACTCTTTCTGTTACATTAAAAATTACAATTTGATTACATCTCTTAGAGTTCTTGATGAGTGGCATGGTTCCATGGGAAACCTGCCTAAACTCTACTTTATACCAGACAGAGGAAATATGTTGGTAAAACAAAGTATATACAATATTCTGGTCCCCTTAAAATTAGTTCAGCCAGACAAAAATAATTATATGGAGACATGCAATATGGTATTGTCTAAATAATATGCAAACATTGATGCAGATCTAGTCAAAGATGCATAATTAATTAGGATTTGTATTACCAAATATTGAAAATTTCTCATGGGTTCATTGATTTAGAAAATTAGTGAGTCCTCTTAAATGATTTACTAACTATTAAGGACATTATTTTTGATTTGTTTACCTTTTTTTTTAAAAAAAGGCTTCTGATTGGGTCTTGATATTATGCTCTGATCATTATTCTAAGCTATTAGAGGTGAGAACAAAAATGGACCAGTTGGAAAAGGATATTTCGCCTCATATCACTTTTAGAAAATAGCTGAATCTGAGTTTTTTAAAAGTAGAATTTATATGCATACATACTGAATATATAATTTATTTCCAATCTGCAACACTCACAGATGTTCAAATGTAAGCCTACATGGTCCTTTGTGCCTCAATTTATGGTATGAGCACTTTACCTCAAGGTGGTAAATACAAGCGACTTGCAGATTCTGTACCATAGTCAATAATTTCAACCTAGCCAATTCATTATTTTCAAATTTTGTCTTCTTCTTTATTGTGTGTTAGACAGAACTAAAGACACATAAAGTTTGTCTTGGATTAATATTAGAAAAGATAGCAATACTTGCATGCGAAATGTCAAGGATTAAAACACCTTGACTGATCTTATCAAATAAAGGTAAATTATAGACAGCAAAATCAATTTATAGCATGAAACTGAGACATATTTGCTAGGATTGAAGTTAACTGATGGTTTGAATAATGTTAAACTTAATATCGCTGTAGAAATATTTTCAGGTAGTGTAGCCCTGAGTTTAATGTAACTAGACTTGACTAGATTAAGACTGTTTTTTCAGTGAAGTTTCAACTTTTAAAAAATAACTTTCCATTTCCATTTCTTTATTATTTGAAATTATTTTTGCTTTTCATTTTCACTGTTGCAGTAAACCTAATATGTCATACCATTTTTTTCATCAATGTCTGATCAGTTTCTGCTTCCTCTTAAATTGAAGTGCATACTGTACTGTATGATTCTCTTACAGGCAAGGTTTTTCAATTTAAACTTAGGCAAGGAAGTAGTTTCCCACCATAAGAACTGAGTTCATAATGTTTTGGAGTATTTTACTTCAACAAGTTAAATTTTTGAAATGTCTACAATATATCACTTCTTCTAGTTTCACTTTAGAATGGGGAGATGGTATATCTTAGTAATAAAGCAAAGTTTCCAGGTAAGGCTGAGAAAATATATTATTCAAAACTCTAGAGATCTGTTGCCAGTAATTGCCGACTATGCTGTAGATGGAAAAATGGACTGATTCAGGTTAATGCAGGTTCTTTCCTATAAACTGCCTGCTCTATCATATTAGATAGGGTAGGCACAATCCAGATCATTAGGTGCCTTCTAATGAAATTAGGAAGATGCCTTCAAGTAAAGTCCATTACAAAAAGCAAATTGAAATTAGAGACGTTTAGACAAGGCATCCTGGGACAATGAAGGTATAATAATATGTGCCTTCTTCATGGAATTTTTCTCTATAGCCTTAATATTTAAACAGTTAATTGGTTTAATTTGTGTTATTAAATCATTAATATAGATTATAGTAAATAAATCATAAATGAGTGGAAATTTACCATAACATAATTTAGAAGATCTCACAAGTTATTTTATAAGAACAATGCAGGAATTTAGAAAGTTTATTTATTTTCTATGATTTTCTCTGGAAGATAAAACTTATGAATAACTAAGGGCTAGTTTAAAAAGTCCCAAATCAATCTCAGGTATTAATTGTTTTAGTTTCAACAAATAGGGTTCATCCTAGTGGTTGGATTAAGGTAGTTCATACCAGTTCGGCAGAACCAGTAGCTAATTTTTTGTTGCCCAGGCCCAGAATGGACTTCCAGAAGCAGCATCTACACAGAGAACAGGTTGTTCACATATTTGAATCCCCCCACTGCTTCAGCCAACTGGATAAAATTATGTTCTTTGGATTTATTTAAAATTCTTTAAATGTTAACAACAAAACAACTGTTTTATGAGTGCTTAGCTCTAACAAAGATATCACCATCCTACCAATTCAGGTACTAGTAAAATTTACATGCAAGGATAAAACATAATTTATTCAATGGCAGAAGGGCACTTAATCTTTCTCCCTTAGATTGTTAAAGAAGCTCCTGTTTCACTGAAACAAAAATCCATCAAAAGACATTATTCATAGATGTCTGAGAATTCTGTTTTCCCATAGTTAAAGGTATTTCATTAATGTCAGTCTTTTCTTTCTTTTTTTCTGTTACAGTTATACAAGCAGAGTGGTTACAAATGGATTGAAAGCCCAAATGAATAATCCAGAGCTGATAGTCAGAGGGTTGGATCCACAGATAGGTCATTTAATTGACAAGTTGAAACATTTTAATCAGGTAAGTATTTATGTTTAGAGAACTGACAAGGCTTTGTAAAAGCTTTTCTCGTGTGCCTTCTCTACTGACCCTTCTTGCCTTCCTCCTCATCCTTTCCACACACATATACACTGGAAAGAAAACATCTCTCTCCATACTTTACAGAGAGATAAGCATTCTAGAAACATGAAAACAAACAAACATATTCATTGAGGACCATATACTGTATTATACTTGTGAAGGCTGGTCACATAACCCTTCACACAATTTTAAAGAATGCCTACATTAGTATTATTAAGATAATACCAAAGATTTTGCCTCTGTATCATTTGAAGTATCACCAGTGACCTCTTTTAGTGAAGAAACACCAGAACATAGCTATATTTTGTATTCAACCTAATAGGAAATCTTTCCCTGAACTGAACTGAACTGAACTGATCTAAAACACACATGTGAGATAATTAAGGTTATCCACATTGATTCTCAGCAATTTTTAAAAGAGGTAAATTTAATTCAGAGTATGTCTACTGATCTGGAAGATGACATGAAGTCGCAGTAAATTCCCATGATGGTCCAAGTGGTGAATGTGCCTCAAATTCCAATAGTTCTGTATTCATAATATAGAGAATTCTATAGAGTTAGACTCTGTTTACAATGTTTACGATGGCACAGTGCAATAAGATTTCAAAATATCCTCCACTAGCCATATAGGGTACTATTAAAATAGCTTGTAAAGTTTTCCTGAAAGTATTTTTTTTTCTGAACAAAAGATGATCTGCCAGTAGGCATGTCAGACTCATCATGAACTTATACTGTCAAGTTATTAACTTGAGCTCTGATTGCTGTGTGCAGCCATCTGCTAGAACTTTGAACTGTCCCTTGATGCTGAATATATTAAAGTTTGTATTATTATTACATTGCACTAATGTGTAGACACTGTCAGTCCAAATTAGCCAGAACAACTTACCATATTTAACAGAAATTGCTTTTCATTAATGTAAGCATATTTTCTTGTCCAACTTGAGAAGTGTTGTTATGGGTTGATAATGACTGGATAGCATCTCTCCCCAGCTGTTTTCCTTAGAAGGTAGGCAATTTTTGACAGTTGTTACTGGTGGTAATGTTGTTTGTACTGATTCATATAAAAAAGTAGAAACAGTGTGTCTCTTATAACTCATTGCTTTTGCTTTTTATTCTGGGACTTGAGGTTAGAAGTCTTTTATACTGACAAAAACAAATCTCCAATCTGATGCCACCTTGTAAATGTTGTTTATATTTTTTTAATCAAAAGTAATGTGTGATATGGCAAGAAGCCCTGCCATACAAAGGGAGAAAGTCACCCTCACCATCAGTAGGGATGAGATATACTCTTAAATGATAGATGATGAAAAAATGAGATTTTGAAGAAATACCTAAGAACCAAACAATCTTCCTGCACTTCATAAATTAGAATGTTACTTTCTACAACAATGGAAAGAATATCCCACAATCATTGCTAACAAACATTTCTTATTCAATTTTATACATGGAAGGGGAGACAATATTCTCTTATTCTTTAGCTTAGACAACAAAATGTCTTGGACTAATTTTGGCCACTACTGTAGTGTTGTGGGAAGAAAACATTAAGTATTCCATTAGGCTCAGACTGCTGGGTGGCATCTGTAGCTTTTTAGATCCTGGCCTTCAGCACTAGAACATAACCTGTACTTGAAAAGTAGTAATTCTATAAATAGTATAACATTACATTCTGTCTTCAATTACTCCTTCATCAAGTAAAGGTTTATTCTGTGACTTTGTATTGACCTGCCATACAAAGGGAGAAAGTCACCCTCACCATCAGTAGGGATGAGATATACTCTTAAATGATAGATGATGAAAAAATGAGATTTTGAAGAAAATCTTCAATGTTTTAAGAAAAAAACATTCTTTAAGTGATGTTTTTTCCTTAACAAAAACAAGCTCTGTAAAATGTGCTTGATTGCATGAATTAAAGAAAATACTGATTATTGCCTTAAGCAGCTTTATTGTTAAGCATTACTAATTACTTCTGTCATATTTTTAGTGAGCTTTTATCACAGATAAAATAATTAAAGAAGATTTTACTTTTTTATAATATAGAATAGTTTATGTAGAGATTTGTTTATCTTGGAGTTGGATTAACTAATGAATAAAAGCTGGCACTCAAAAAATGAGTAAGTCTGCAATTCTATATGCATGTTTGTTAAATTTAATTGGGCTCATTACTGAATAGATACATTCAGGATTGCAGTGCAAATCATAATATTGCAGTATTATCTTATATATCTTGAATACCTCTTGTATGTAAATCCCCTTTAAATATAATAGTTTATGGAAAAACTATCTTGAATATGCTTCCTTTTCTTCTTTTTAAATCTTGATCATGGTAGCAATTTACAAATTAGAAACTTTCTACTTTAGAGGAAAAATCCTGTCATCTACATATTAGATCTTTTGAAATAAGTCATACTCACTTTCTGGAACAATACAGGATGTGTTGCAAGGGAGAATTGGAGAGAGGGTGCTTCCCTCGCAGCTCCCTTAATAGAAATTTGCCAAGAAAACTGATAGACATATCCAGTAAATCACTTGGAGTTGAAATCAAAGCATGTTCTACCATTTAATAAGTAAAAGTAAAGAAGTCCCTGCAGATTTTATACTGCTAGTCATTGCTGACTATAGGGGGCAGTGCTCATCTCTGTTTCAAGGCCATTGAGCCAGCTCTGTCTGAAGACATTTCCATGGTCATGTGGGCAGCATGACATCATGGAGTGCTATTACTTTCCCACCGAAATGTAGTTTTAACTTTTATTATATTGGTCCCTGTTCTTAAGCTGAAAATTGGGTAGGTTGCATTAAAATGTAACTAAGTAGTTTTCTCCCATCCCTAGTTTTTGTTTTTCACTTTTATGTAATGTAATATAGAAACTGCCTTATATGAAAAATGATAAAATCATATCATTTTTCCATAGAACCCTGGTTTGTCCTTTCTAATAACTGATTTCTTGGAAATTCAGGTAAAGAAGAAGAAGTAGAGATGGCAGAATGGCAAATAATTGTACTCTACCATTGCCTAGCCTTTATTTATTGAGATTTAACTAGTTATAGCATCTGTTACTTAGCTTGTTCATAGATAGATTTAAACATATATACTGTATTCCAGAAGCAATGATTCAGTTGTTTGGGAAATTTTACACGAAGAGACATACGTACTCAAAACTCCCAAATTTGCCTGAAGTCAAGTAAGAAAATCAAGGCGGAGATATTGTTTTTTCTGCATAAGTAATATTTCTGGAATCTTTGCAATTTCTTAATTTAATATCTGGTATGAAGAGTATTTACTGCCTTCTAGTGTTATCAATGGGTTTTTGATGTAATTCAAACTACAGATATTCTGTTTGTTTTGTAAAAAATAGCAACTTTATCTATAATTAAACTAAAAATTATTAACAAGCTTCACAGTTAAAGGCAGAGGATTGCACTCCTGATACAGATTCTGTAAAATGTCTTATTTAAACAGAAATACATTTAAGAGAAAAAAAAGAATATTTATATAAATTCTTCCTGTCTTGTTGTTATGTGTTAGCAAATATATAACCCTTAGAAATTACTTATTATTGTTTCTCTGGGTATACAGGTATCTTTCCTCTTGGAAAACATTTCAAGAATTATTTGCCCAGATGACTTATTGTGTACATTTTATGTGGGCTTTTCTGTGTTATTAATTCTTCATTAGGAAAATGTAATCATAAGTCAGAACATTACACTGAATCACAGTGACAGAATCAAATAGAAACATATATACTGAATGCATGTTGTAGAAATAATTAAAATTTTAAAAAATCATTTTTTCATGTGAAAAGCATTTTCTTTAAGGAATATATACATCTGTTTAAGTGGAACAAACTCTCAGGTTTTATATATAATTGTATTCCATTTATTGTTTATGCTTTAATGTCTGCTGGAAAAATTGGGTTTGTAGTTGCATATGATTTTTTGCAAATGCTACCAGTGTTAGGATAATACACAATTTTGGCAAATATCTGTTTATTTGAATTCATTTTTACAAAAAATGAATTGTTTTTTGTGTGAATCTTTCAGTTGTGAGCAATAATATAAGCAAAGTCTATATTTATACCTATATAGGTGGAAATCTCCATTTTACTGTATCACCCAACTTTGAACCTATAGAACACCATGACAGGTTTGTTTTATATTTTTAATTATAAAATTAATCTAGACAACTGAAATGGATAGGAGATAACACAGTCTCAAAGTTCTAGCAAGTTAAATTCAGAAATCAGTAGCCTTGTCCAAGCAAAAGACTGAGATTGGAGGGGCATAAAAGTGACACCTCAAGGGTTCAGCAGACTTCTCCAGCACTGCATGTCAGGGGATGTATGTCTCTGTATTTATAGGCATTCCATTTATATTCCTGCAAATGTAACATTCTGGTTAGGGGACATTCAAACAACAGAGCACAGAACAGAAAGTTGGATCAACCAATCAGTATACAGGATACACACCTCTGCACAACAAGCAGTTGGGATTTGGAAGACATGCTTATTGGCCTGTCTGCAACCTACGCTTACTCATCAATCCCTTAGTAGTGTATGTATGTGGTGATGCCTATGTGCAGTGGCAGGCAACTCTAAATCAGTGTTCAAAGAACATTCAGAGTAGAGTAGAGTGCTATATCCTCAGCAGTCCATATCTGTTTTAATGTTGCTATGGTTATCAGGAAATGAATAGATATTGCATATAAACGTTTGGGAAGATAACAGTGTTCCATGTTTTGCTGTGCACTATGTGTTGCGGAATGATGTCATGCCAGCCACATGATTGCGGAAATGTCTTTGGACAACACTGGCTCTTTGGCTTAAGAAATTGAAATAAGCTCCACCCCCTAAAGTTGGTCATGACTAGTGTGATATAACCCATAGGGACATCTTTATCAGGAATTGTTTAGCTAGCAAAGATATGTATTTGTGCATTGCTATCAG